AGACCTGTGGTTTTCCTATGATTCCAGACTTAAGAGTCCCCACAGCCACTACAGAGTCCCCCACAGCCCCGTTCATAAAGAATCATGTACCGGCAATGTCCCGGATGCGCGATGGGATTCGATCCATGTTGGCCTACCGAGCCCGGCACGTGGAAGTTAACTTTAAAACCCATAACGGTGGCGCCTTCGCTAACTCGCGCTGACCAGCGTGAAGCAAGTGCATCGTGCTGGCGAGAGGTTATCTGCCTCCCCTGATATACAGGAGGACGTGGGTTCGATCCCGATCCTGACGCCTGCTGCTGTATATTTGGAGTTTGCGATGTCTCCCTCTCTCTTCCCGTGGTCGCGTGGACTTTTTCTCCGGGTCATCCGGGTTTTTCTCTCCACATTTAGAATCGACGTCAAGCGTTTTAGAGTACTTGGCTGCTGCTATGAATTTCCACGTGATGATGATGATGACGAGCCACTTCCGTTGGGCTATCACTTGGGACCAGGTCGCTTCTGAAAAGGAGCCATGTCGCTCAGTGGGCCTTAACCTGGTAAAAAAAAATCATAACAATAGTTTAAAATAGTTTAATACCCCCCCCCATCCCCCCGCTTGACCGACACGCGCGCATGTCTACCAGTGAATTGACAACAGGGCAGGACGCGCCACATCCATGCACGTCCGTGCACAACGGTGTCTCGCGGCGACACCGTAGCCGCGCGCAGACCGGGGGGTCCCGAGAGGCGAAATCGCACTTTTCGACTCCAAGACGCAGGTTGTGACTCTGCCGCGTCGTCGTCGATCGACACTGCAGCGACACTTAAACAAAACAAAAACCAACACAGCCAAAACCTTGTCGCGAAGTTCCCCGCACGGTTTCCCCGTACCCAGCGTGCCGTCTTCCAACAGCGCCGAGCCGGCACTCACCGACAAAATAACGACGTTGATCCCTGAATGAACTTGGTTCCCACGTCTACCATTCGATGGTTTGGCTGGTCCCACGAAAAGGAACTTGACACGGACGTCTCACCGCTGCGCCCACCAATTCTATTGCGGGGTCGCCCCTTCTTCCCGACGGGTGGTGCCGCGCTGTGCAATGGTCGGCACGATAGGCGTGCGGTCCAATCCAGAGGCCACCGGGTTCAATCGAATCAATTCATCTCACGGCACAGGAGTTAAAACAATAAGCGCGTTCCGTAAATCGCTCCCTCGCCCTCCCCCCGCCACCTACCCGGCCTGTCCAGCCGGCAGCAGGAATGGGCCCACCGCATTCAGTCGATCGGGAAAGAAGGGCGCGTGTAGTGCCACCTGTGCCAAGCCGTGTGACCGGCGTGGCAGAGTAGGGTACAATAACGCCCCCCCCCCTCCCTCTAGAGAGGGACTGTCGTCTGGAGGCCCTTCTGCAGGCAGCGGTGCAAGCAAGCCTATTGAAGGGCCGCTCCTTAACCTTCTTCCCGAACGGTCAGTCGGTTGATCGATCAGTCGGTCGGTCCATCGATCGGTCGGCCAAAAGTGCCGTCCCACTGCATGCACGCAGACTGGCGGGCAGAGGAGCGGCAAAGCGCGCCGCACCAAACGAAGCTTTGTACAAGCAGCAGCAGCAGCAATGACGATGTCGCTGCGCGCAACAATCACTAAAACTACATTGGGGGATGTTTGTCTTTTCTTTTAAGCACATGCCGTTAATCACCGCGGTAGCAAAAAAAAACACATTGTTTAAAAAAATAATACCAATTAAAAACGTTAAAAGAGGAATTCCATTATTTTAGAAAAAAAACAACATTCATCGTAATTGTAACAATAACGTGTAGTCGACGACGGAGTCTTGTGGCTTCGCGTCGGAGGAAACGTTCGGCCATAGCGTCGCACAGAAGCGGTGGCCGCTCCTCGGCAGGGCCCTGAGGAGGAGACATCACGCGCGCGACAGCCGTGGGGCGCGCGACACCTCGCGCTGTCCGCACGGAGCAGCAGTGGAGCTGGGCGGATCGGCCGCTGCAAAATTACAAATCGACTCTTGGTCGATTTTTAGGGCCACATTATAAATGGCTGCCGCTGCTGCCCCCCCCCCCCCCACACAGCCTGTCTCCTGAACACCCCCCCCCCCGCCCCACAAAACAAGTCCCGCCCATCACCTCCCGTCCAGCGGCACACATAGAAGCAGAGGTTATCCCCCCCCCCGCTCCCTCCCCAATAATTTCAAGCGCTCTTGTGTGAAGTACTCGAACCGACGATTAGAAATTCGATCGATTTGATGCTGCCGCGATCTAACGGGGTTAGCAAACTGGGCGCGCAATCCACGGAGGTCGTCGATTAGAATTCCAGGTGTGCCTCTGTCCAGCCAGCGGTATAAATGTGTGCACCACAGACAGGCGGTCGGCAGGTCGTGTGGTGGAGTAGAAATTGGGGACTCCCCCCACTTCTTCAAAAGGCGTCTCGGCCAGCGTGCCAGAGCAGGCAAAAACAATCCTCTAGAGCAGCGGTTCGGAACCTTTTGTTCGCGACTGTACCCACACCCTTGTTGAATTCTCTCAACCGAGTAACCCCCCCCACCCCTTGCCTGACCCAACATGCTTCTGAGAAATAAATGTACGAATAACGAACATCAATATTTTAACAAATTTTCCATTTTTTATGTATCCCTAACTAGCTGCTAGTAACTGCAAGTGGATTTTTTTTAAATCAACGGACGCTCTGCACATGTGATGTAATTAGTTCGCGCTCGCTGGCTACTCCTGTAAGCCAACACTGTTAACGATAAACGAGTTTAGAAAGTTATTTTATATCGTTGTAGGTTACGATATGGATTTTAATTGTATCGTAGTTATTTTATAGTGGCAGATTCATACATCAATGACTCTCACGGACGATATAATTTCACGCATTTATAAATCGTCTCACGTATAGCACCCCACCCCCATCCCCACCGGGTTGAGAACCACTGCTCTGGAGGGGCTCTCCCAGGCTTCCCTCGAGTGGGAAGCCGTCCCTGCAGGGGCCGCGAGTTTAATCGATTTGACTCGAACGATCGGATAGCCGAGCGGCTACACCACAGCGAGAGGAGGGGGGGGACTCCGCGTGGCCACAAGGAGGTCCACGCCGTTCTGCCGCGCACCGCCCCTCACGGGCAAACGGGGCCGTTCGTTGCCGACGCGGCGAATTTTAAAAAACCTGAAAGTTGAATTGGGGGGGGGGGGCTACAAAGTCGCGGTAGGGTTATGCGTGGGGTTGTACGCAAGTACGTTGAACTTCTTTCACACCGTACGTAGCCAAACCGTGCTATTCGGAGGTGTGGGTGGGACAACTAAACGAAAAAAGCCGTTCTAAAGCATTGAGTTTTCAATCCAGATGATTTAAAAGCGCATAGCTCCGGTGGCTCGTAGTCGGTGGTAAGGATACTACTGCTACGGCTAGGAATGGCCGACTATTCGGTTGGCGTTTGTCTTAGCCCCAATGGTCTACGAGAAGCACAGCACTCGTGGCCGGGCTAGTTTGTCAAGAGTTAGGGACTGCGAGCGGCGTTGTTGCTCGTGACTTAGTTCGTAAAATGAGGATCAATGCTTGGGCTAGTATTAATATCTTGGTTGGCTATTTAGTTCGGCTTCAACCAGTGCAAGAGATAGTTCAGTGGCCGGATGGCTAAAAGAGACTCATGGATGGTTTGCTACTTGGTTAGCACCAAAGATAGAAATGGTATCGGTGACTGGTTGGTGAGATGGTTAGAGTCACAGCGAGGACTAGTGCTAGTGGCTGGGTGGCTAGTTGGTTAGGGTGAGTGGTAGCACGAGTACTTGTGGCTGGATAGCCAGATAGGGTCACAGCCAGGACTAGTACTAGTGGCTGGGTGGCCAGCTGGGTTAGTGTTTAGACATCAGGCCAGAGTTTGGTTCGTCTGTCCCTCCTCCCAATTGCCGTTCCAGTTTTTGGACGCGTAAATCGTTTACAGGATTTGGAGCTTCTCACCCCCCCCCCCGCCCCCTTCAGCACTTGACACACGAGCGCCACGGAAGGGAACGCCGTAGCCGCCACCGGAATGGCAACGGCGCGACCGCCACCACCGACAGACAAGGAGCCCTGTCGCCTGTACACATCCGTAACATGAACGCGCTACTATTTAACACCTCGCACGCACGCGCAAGCAAACGCACGCGCACACTCGCGCACGTGGACACGGGGAGGGGCTAAGGGGGAGTGTAAAGGAAGACGGTAGGCGTGTAACGATGCAACGATTCGCCGATTCAGAGATTCAAACGCTCGTGATAACATGCATGGAATCGCGCGAGAATCGGTCATTTGCGACTCGCGCAAATTATCATATGTACGCTTAGGAGGACGACGTAACGAGACGGACCACACGAACGACAGGCGAGACAAACGAGACGGGATGGGACCGTACAAACGAGGCAATGTAATTGAGATGATATAGACGAGAGAGACAGAATGAGTACGAGAAAATGGGATGCCGTATACGAGACAGAATGGCATCTCGTACGCGAGATGGAAGAAATGAGAAGGAACATACAGGAGGCCAGAGAAATGAGACAAGACCAGTACAAATGAGACGGAGCGTACGGAGACAGGAAAAACAAAACTTGCGGCGCACATGTCGAACGGTACAAGACAGACGGTACAGACATGATGCAAGCAAAAGAATATACAATGGATTCTTGAAACGAACATCGACCCTCAAATCACGACAAATCCATCCGATGGGTGGGAGGGGGGTGAGCTGGTGTCAACGTGTACAGGAGGGGACACGGTGAAATGTACTTTTGCTTCCGGTAGAAACCGGCACGTGCAGCGCTGCGGCCTCACACTCCGCAGGGCACATTCAATAAAATTTGATTCAACATTTGTTTTTAACAACGCAGAGACGGGGTGCGGGGGGGGTGGAGTGGGGTGGAGTGGAGGGAGGGAGGGGGCAGGGTCGCCGATTGGGCCAGCACCACTTGTGTGAGTGTATGGGAGACGTAAAGTGAGTTGGGGAGAGTGGGGGTCGTGTGTGTGTGTGGGGGGGGGGGGGGGGGTGGTGGGGGGCAGGGGGGGGGGAGAGGGGACGGTGTGCGTGGGTGTTGGGGCAGTCCCCGGGGTTGACGGGACGCAGGGGCCAGCTCGTGCCGCGGCGGGTCGAGGAGTCCGGGTGCGGTGGAGAGGTAAGGTTCCGTCGTCGTCGTCGTCGTCGTCGTCGTCGTCCGTGGTAAGGCCGTTACCACGTGTCGTCCATATCCACGGGACCCTGCGGGGGAGGCACACGTGGAAACGCGGCCGTGGCGAATAAATAAATATATAATGACAACCGCAGAGACGCTCGGCGCCGGCGTGTCGGGGCGTGCAGCTCCCGCGCACAACTCCGCGGTCACGGCGACGGCGGGTCCACGCCCGGGCAACCGGGCGCGCCGCTCGCTTGCTCGCAGGAGGAGAGAGACGGACTTGGCTTACGGCGGTGATCGTCGCCAACCCCCCCCCCCAGGCCGGGAGAATTTGGCAGGACCCTCCTGAAAAAAGTCTTGAGACTCGCCGGGGCCGAGGTAAACGAAGTGCGTTGTTACGATGGGCATTACGATTGTCCTCCTTACCAGCTCCTCCTCCTTGTATGGGTTGAGCCGGTTGTACGCCACTTCTATCACTCCGCGCCTGCCAAACAAAACGCAAGCATCGGCATGAACCGGGGTGACAAGCTCACGAGCGGCCGCGAGGTCGGGTACACGCTCAGGGGTTTGAGAACAAAGCTGCAGAGCCGTATGACCCACGAAGCTACATCACAGAGCTTTATCACCACAAACGCGACGGCGTGTGTGGTGTACGTAGCGATAGTGCGCATTGGTGGGTGCACTGCACTACGAACCCGGCGACCCGAGTTCGATTTCAGCTCAAGGCCAAAATTGGTGGCGAATATCTAAACCGGTCGCGGTGGTGAGATGTTAACTACCTTGCCTGGTATGCAGGAGGTCGTGGGTTTGATGCCGACCCTGACCCCAGTATGTTTGGAATTTGCGCGTTCTTCCTGCGGTCGCGTTGATATTTCTCCGGGTCCTCCGGTTTTTCCCTCCACAATTAGGATCAGCGTCTCGCGTTAAGATAATTTGGCTGCTACAAATTTCCACGTGATAAGCCAACTTCGTTGAGCTTTCATTTGTGATGGCCAGATCGCTTCCGAAGAAGAGCTACATAGCTCAGTGGGCCTCACCTGGTAAAGTAAAAATGAGCTGAGTTCAGTTTTAGTTCAGTCCTGGGCCTCCCCTAGGTCGACTCGGGCTTAAACGAGTATCCGGTGCGGCGTGTAAGACAACAGCGCAGGGGAGCGACAGATGTGGTGGCCTGCGCATGGTGCTGGCCACACCCCCCCGTCATTCACAGATACCCGCTACCGGCACTTGACTCAGGAAGCCTAGAGGCTACACGGGGTCGGGGAGAGATTTTTGCCTTTGTTTTTGTCGGGGGGGAAATCACATTTCTCAAGAACACCGTGGCCTTAAAAAATAAGAAATCCATAACGCGCGACATTTCTGGCAATGGCCCTTCGTCAGTGCACATTCATTCACGCACGTGCACCACTGCCAAGCACAGCTCGATGACAAATTAACGCGTTTAATTGTTGTTGTTGTTGTTGCGTGACTGTGTGTGTGGGCAGGAAGGTTGCCCCCCCCACCCCCGCGCCCCTCACTTGCTGGCGAGCCCCCCGCCGGGCGGGAGGTTGGGGATCGGCTCGGTGGCCATGGTCCTCATGACGTAGAGGAGGTCGGGCATCCCCTCCATGCCGTGCTTCTCCAGGATCTCTGCTCCACAACAAACACAAAGGTCCCGCCGCCCCCCCCCCACACACCGTATAGCCTTAGCAGACTGTTGAGGCAAGTGCTGATAGCGAGCACCTACGTATGTATGAACTTCTTTCACACCGTACGTAGCCGACCGTGCTAATCGGAGGTGCGGGGGAAAGACAACATACGTACATGAAGCAGTACTAAAGAAATGAGCTTTCAATCTATATACGCCGGCACCACGCCCGGCCGCCTTTGTCTCCCCGAGTGGCAATATTTACACACGGCACCAGGTAATAATTTGAGGCCGAGTCAACCTCGGGGACATACACACACACGTGCACAGATGAGCAAATGAACACACGTGCGTGCACGCTCGCACGTGTACACACGCACACAACGTACGCGCCTCGTTTGTACCGTCTCTCATTTTGTTCCGTCCCTGTCCTGCCTCGCATGGAGCCGATGGGCCTCATTTGTTCCGTCTCGCCCGTGTTCCCGTTACAAATCAGAAATAACGAAAGCGCTCTCTCAATCTTGGCGCGCGACAAAAAGAATCGATTCTCGAGCGCGCACTTCCACCGGATCGACCGAGCGAATGAATCGTCACGGACCTCCAAGTCATCGCCAATTTACATTAAAAAAACACAACCGCTTGCCGCCGCCGCCACCACTGTCCGATTCCCACCCAGCATGCCGTGCGGCTCACGCTGACCCTCCCCACCCCCCCCCCCACAACCCTCGCACGCCCCCTGACCTTCGACTTTCGCCTCCAGGTAAGCGTCGAGTTCCGCCTCGCGCTTGATGGCCTCGGGGCAGGGCTTGGGCGCGCCGGGGAACGTGACGAGCACGACGCTCATGTTGTCCCGGCTCCCCTGGTGGGGGGAGGGTCACACAACAACACACGTTCATTCAATCCTCCACATTCATTCGTTCGTTTGTTCGTCACCGCCAAATTCATTGATGCACACACACAGGCCTTCTGTCAAGTTATTGCTGGATGAAGGCCCTCCCCTACTCCGTCGGAGAACGCGACGGGCAAGACTCTCAACGACGTCTCGGGCCCTCACTTAATCCTGCGTCAACCTTCGGAAGTCCCAGCACCGGTTCAGATAATTAATCGTTACCGGTGTTGGTGGCTGTGAGCGGGAATCGCTCCCCACACCCACAGGCACAAAGACAAAAAGATCCTCAGTATAGCCTCAACAGACTGTTGGAGCAAGTGCCGTTAGCGAGTAGCACCTATGAAGGAACGGCACGGCACACAAGGGGGTGGGTGGCCAACACCACGCCCGGCCGCCTTTGTCTCCCGAGTCGACCTAGGAAAGGCCCAGGACCGGTTGAGATAATCGTCACGGGTGTTGGCCACGAGCGGCAATCGAACTCTGGTCACCAGGTTGGCAGCGCGGCGCGCTAACCACCACACCACCCCTCCCCACACGCAAACTACACGCACGCGCGAGCGCGCACGCTCACCTTGTAGAGGCACGTGTCGAGCACGTGGTTGCACACGGCCTCGAGGTCGTCGGTGAGCAGCAGGCGCGAGCGCACGAAGGCGCACAGCTCCTCGTTGCCCACCACGTCCCAGACGCCGTCGCAGGCGAGCACCACGAACTCGTCGAGGGCGCCGTCGCGCTCCAGCGCGTACACCTCGGGCTCGGGCGACACCAGCTGCTCGGTGGGGCCCTTGCCATCGACGCACTTGTAGTCGAAGTCGCCGAGCGCACGCGACACGGCCAGCGAGCCGTTGACGCGCTGGATCATGACGCTGCCGCCGGCGTTCTGGATGCGCTCCTTCTCGCGCGGGTTGCACGGCTTGTGGTCCTCGGTGGAGAGGTGGACGCGCCCTCCCCGGCTCAGCACGCCGCGCGAGTCGCCGCAGTTGATGAAGTAGAGGCGGCGCGGCGACGACAGGAGCGCCACGGCCGTGGAGCCGCTGCGGTCCGTGCCGCTGCGCAGCTCCGAGAAGGCGCGCATGCGCTCGTCGATCTGCAGGAAGCCCGTGCGGATTCCCGTCTTCACGCTCGACACGGACAGCTCGTCCGACGGGGCGGGGTCGGACGCGGGGGCGAGGTCCGGGCCCGCCGGAGATTTTGTCTTCGTCTCCGCGTTGTTCCCCACCAGCTCGTTCTCGCCGTCCTCCTCGTCGTCGTCGTCGTCGTCCTCCTCGTTCTTCCGGTTGTCCGTCTGCGGTTTCTTGCCTCCCGGGCCGGTGACTTCCACAGAGTCGCCTGTGGGCGCGAAAAAAGGGAAGGCCGGAGTGAGAGAGGTGCGAGTGAGGCCAGTGGCTTTTCATCTGCGTGGTTCCCCCCCCACCACCCCCGCCCCCCGTAAATGTGTCACTGGTCTACTGTATGACAATGAAAAGGAAGAGGGGTAGGAGATAGTCAGCAGTGGGTCACGATTAATTAATTGAATTGTGGCCGGCTACCAGGAGAAGCAAGAATGATTGTTACCGTCGACGTCATCAACCGTCGGCGGTCGGTTATCGATTAATTAATCAAATCGCAGGAGGTACAGTACCAGCAATAGTAAACACGCCTCCACGCACGGTTAATTCATTAATCTGATCGCGGGAGGAGGCTGAGCGTGGCCAGGCGTAAACGACTCTTCTACGCGCAAGCGGGCGACCGGCCATTCGCTCGCGATCAATGAAACAACAAAGACAAAGATCCCCCATTATAGCCTGTAACAGACTGTTGGGGCAAGTGCTGTTAGTGAGTAGCACCTATGAAGGCCGTCAAGACACACGAGGGGGTGGGTGGCCAGCCCCACGCCCGACCGCTTTTGCCCCCCAAGCGGCGATGTTTACACACCGCACCAGGTTCTCGTTTGAGGCTGAGTCGACCTAGGAGAGGCCCAGAACCGATTCAGATAAAAGTCATTGGTGTTGGCTGCAAGCGGGATTCAAACGCGGGTCACCGGGCTCGTCGCGCAGCGCGCTAACCGCTACACCGCCGCTCCTCACACCGAGTTGACACCAACAACAACAACAACACGCCACGCACACACACGCCACGCACACGCACGCACACACACGAACAGCAACGGCCGGCCGTCACCTCTGAAGTCGGCGTTGCAGGTGATGTGGTCGAGCAGGTGCTGTGAGCAGTAGGTGGCGACGCGCGAGCCCGCGTGCCCGTCGTAGACGGCGAAGAAGGACCAGTGGTCGAGGCCGTACGGCAGGCCCACGGTGGCCGTGTGCGCGTCCTCCATCTCCACGCGCCAGCCCTGCATGCTGCTCAGCGCGTACTTGAGCCCGTTGCCCGCGCCGCGGTCCGTGTGCTTCTCCATCTTGGGCTTGTCCAGGAAGGCGCCCATCGCGCCGGTGCGCGGAGCTGCGCGGCCACTCGGCCGCTGTGGAAAGTTAAAATCGTCGTTGTCACCGTCGCTATTGTTCCCGTCGTAGTCGTCGTTCACTGCACGCCGTGCGTACTCATTATTATTCCTGCGTGGGTTGTCGCGTTCGCACGGGTCTCTCTCTCTCTCTCCGTCGCGTTTTGCGGCCGTGCCGCGCGCTGTTCGCCATGATCAGGCATCGGCAACCAAAATACCAAGGAGCAGCCGTGTTTTTTGCCAACTCAATATTTAAAGTGCCGCGGCGGCACGTCAATACCAGACGGCGGTGCTTTAGCAAAGTAACGTCACGAAGCGGCAGTTCCTCAACGAGCCACCGCACGATGCGGCTCCGTGGCCGCAGGTTTGACGCCGACCCCTGGACTACGGCGTAGCACTACCACCCCACCCGTACCGCCGCGGCGAGTGAGACGTCCGTCACATGCCGCATCATAGTCAAACCCGCACTTTTAATTCTCACAGACGGGATTTTTTTTTTTATCCAAACCGGAGTTCAGAACCAAATTTAAGGGGAGGGTATTTTGTATACGCTCATTGGTGAGCAGGTTGATGCAACCCAAAATAAACTAACTCGAGATCATGATTTTGGTTGTGAAAGCCCACGTGGAACCTGGTTTGAAACCACAATTGTAACCAGCGGTTCCAGCCTCCGCGTTCTCACCTCAGAGGCACGCGAGGGGTAAAGCATTTTAAACCTGCATTTCCACAGCACTGCCAACGCAGAGCCACTCGTTTCATTCCGTATGTAAAAAAAAAACGGAAAGAAACGAGTTTGTAAACTTAGATAATGATTTAAAAGTTCATAGCTCCAGTGGCTTCGTAATGTGTATATGTTGAACTTCTTTGGCACCGCACGAAAGACAACCGTTGTAATCGGAGGTACTGCGAAGGACAAGCTAAACACAAAAAAAACAGATATTCTTGGTTCTTTCAGTAAAGTCACGTAGAAGGGACATGATAAAATAATAAAAATACGACAATAAACAAAAAAACAGGTCTAAAAAAATTCGTTTTAGCAATCTGAATGATGATTTAACAGTGCCACAGCTCCCAGCGGCTTCCTCATATCGGAAGGAAGAGCGTTCCAGATGGCCGCAGAAGCGGCGGATCTGAAAACGCCGCGCGTGTGACGGCGCGTGGTTCCAAAGCGGCTTGAGGTTTTCAGGAGGGCACCATTGTCAACCTCCACCATCAACCCTCAGCCAATTTAGAACAGGCAGCGACAGGCATTGGGTTTGTCATTGGCGCCAGCGTTTTGTTCCGTTAAGAGTCAATCGCTCGCCTTTCTCGCCTACAAACAGCCTACTGCACCTCCTCCGGTTACCGTATTCCTCAGATAATAAGACGCAATTTTTCCACCCCGCATTTTTTTTTCGTCGTGAGAATATTATTGTGTTATTTTATTTGATCAATTTATTATTTTATTCTCATTCTACATGACTTTACCGAAAGAACGAAAGAAGATTTTTTTAAATTAAAGTTGGGGGTGCATCCTGTTATCCAGGCCACAAACGTAGCGCCGTTTAGCATTGAACCGGGGTCGTCTCGTGTTGTAAAGCTCTTGCAAATAACATCTGGTCATATAACGGCATTGGTTGAACAAGCCTGACTCGACGAGCTCCTGATGGGGAAAAAAGTGGTCCAGGGTTTGCTTGCTGAAACATATTTCCGCTTGATGATATTGGGTCTGGAAATCCAATAGGCTGGTGGGTTAAAAAAAATTCACATACATATATGGTGGCAAAGAAAGAGAGTTATGCGTATATATCCTCTTACTTATAATGCAGTAGATGAGTGTGTGTATGTCTACAGTAGTGCTGTGGTTAGCGCGCTGTCCTATGAACCTGGCGATCCGAGTTTGATTCCCGCTCACGGCCAACACCGGTGACGATTATCTGAACCGGTCCTGGGCCTCCCCTAGGTCGACTCGGCCTCAAATGAGTACCTGGTGAGGTGTGTAAACTTCGCCGCCGAGGAGACAAAGGCGGCCGGGCGTGGTGCTGGCCACCAACCTCCTCGTGCGCCGTGTCGGCCTTCATGGGTGCTCGCTAACAACACTTGCCCCGACAATCTTTTAAAGGCTATACGGGGAATATTTGTCTCTGTTTGTATCACCAGATCGCATAACATTACTGAGAACCAGGAAGGTTTGAGGTGCGTCTTATTCTTCGTCGGGGTCTTAAGATCCAGAGAACACGGTAGTGGTGGACCGTTGGTTTTGTAACCCACCGGCTGCTGAAAGGGTAAGGCTTTACCATCGGGTCAACAAATCAATTATTACATTACCGTCATTACTTGTCGGTGGAGTGGCACCGCGGTTAAGGCACTTGTCAGACGGTTGAGAGCTCAACTTCAGGTCGAGGTGGGGCGGGTGGTGGGGTTAAACTCAGCCCCTTCATTCCTCTGACGTCAAAGAAAGCAGTGGGGGTACTGTCCAACAGTGAGCGTCCAATGTGGACACAGGCCCTCGACACAGGAACGTGGAATTTGCACCACTGGCCGACGGCAGTAAGAAGTAGATGCCACCCCACCGCGGCTACGTAATAGCTCGGTGGAGGCCTTACCCGGTAAAATAAAAAAATAGTTTGTTTCTAGCCTTAGTTTTAGTTAACAATTTTTTTATGTAAAAATACTATAGGTTATTAGGAAGCCACTGGAGCTATGCACTTTTAAATTATCTAGATTGAAACTCATTTCTGTGGAACTGCTTTTTGCGTTTAGTTTGTTGTTCTTCTACACGCACCTCCGATTAGCCACGGTTGACTATGTGAGGCGTGCGAAAGAAGTTCTATATACACGTCTGAGCGAGAAGAAACTTTCTCTTGGTTTTATGAGCTCGGTTCCTTGTGTACGTTACAACAGTCGTACTTTTGATTCTGTCACGAGCAGAAATGGACAACAACATGATGTCGCTGACGCTAGCGTTACCATCAAGAGGTTAGAGTATGTCAGGAGGTCGAAATTAAACCTTCGTTCACCAGAGTCCCTATGGAGTAAGAACTCGGACCATAGCGTTAGTTGTGTTAGCTTCATAAACGTAGTTTCAAATGTGTGCCAAAGATTATAAAAACGAAACTATTTTTATTTCACCAGGTAAGGCCCACTGAGCTATATAGCTGTTTGTCAGAAGCGACCTGGCTATCACAAATGATAGCTCAACGAAGTGGCTTAGCATCACGTGAAAATATATAGCAGCCAAATACTCTGAACACGTGATGTTGATTCTAAATGGTGGGAAAAACCAGAAGACCCACGGGAAGAACATGCAAACTCCAAAAATACGGCAAGCGTCAGGGTCGGGATCGAACCCACGACCTCCTGCATACCAGGCGAGGTAGTTAACATCTCGCCACCTTGGCGCCCCACCAAAACCAGCCCGGCCACACCCAAAATAAGGGTGACCACATCACAGCAACATGACATTCCACCCGCTGGCTCCCATTCCAATCCCAGGTAAATCGTCAAGGTGGCTAAGAGATGTTAACTACCTCACCTGGTGTACAGGAGGTCGTGGGTTCGATCCCAGCCCGGACGCCTGCTGCTGCTGTATATATGGAGTTTGCGTGGATAATATTTTCTCCGGGTCCCCCGGTTTTTCTCTCCAAATTTAGAATCAAACACGCGTTTAGATCATTTTTTTCTGCTATAAATTTCCACATGGTTTGTTTACCTTTCCTATACTTTGCACGCCTATCCTGTTTTTTGTTTGTTGTAGTAACGGTCTGACCTGCCCCTACTGACAATTTGTGAAAAAGAGTTTTATAGCTCATCGGATTCTTCCAGAAAAAATATTCTGATTCTATCTTCAGGAACCTGCACGGACTCGCCCTTGCCGACCCCCCTTGTCTCGAATCTACTCCCGTCCACACACTTGCCCCCAACCTCTATCCTCTCATCTCACTCCAATCCCCTCCTCCATGCACTCTTTGCACGAGCAAACCAAGGTTTTCGATTGACACCCCCCAGTGAACCTTCACTCAGTGGCTGGTCGCTCATTCTCCTGTAGCCCCCCAATAGCGTGCAACTCCCTTCTCCCAGTCAACCTCGCTGCTAACGTCCTGTGCCTGTTAAAGTCCAGGCTCAAGACCTTCCCCCCCCCCCCCGGTTCCTATCTTTGTCAATGACTGTCTCTCGACAAAATGAATATTCCCACTGCTTCCCACGTCTTCTTGACATGCAGTCGGACGTCGACGCTATGTAAACCTACGTTGTATCGTTACTGTTTTTAGTGACGTACGTGTGCGTCATTGGAACGTAATCGGAAGAGCCTTTTTTTTTAATTGAAAAACGTTATCGGTGCCGAGGCTCCCACAAGGCCATGCGGGAGGGCGCATGGCAGTTTGGCGCCAGCTATCATAGAATGGCGGTTGTGTCGCTACGGTTCCTTGCGGTGAGTGCAATGTATTTTTAAAAAACAACGGCGCACCACGTTCGTACGACACCTGAAATAAGTTACCAGGGTGAGGAGTCGGGAGACATGGACCGAGGATGGGGGGCATAACGACTCTGAAATAGACGGAAGCCGGAATCGGAGGGAGTGGAAATACAAATTGCTCGTTTAAGTCACCACTTATGTTTTTACTTTCTTTACGTCAGCTGCATTGCAGTTACATCCCTTCCCGCTTACTTAAAAAAAGTCATCTTATCCCATATCGGTGAGACCCCCTTGTATAGTTTGGGGCAGCGGGCCACATTTCCCATCTTTATATCCCCCTGCTTTTCATAACCGTCACAACGTCACGTATCGGGCCCGCGTATTGTCTCAACAAAAAATAATAAAACGGCGACAATACGACTCTCCAAGTAATATTAATGCCGAAACCTGCTCAAGTGTTCTGAGATTCGGCGGTGAACGGGAACACCCACCACCCCCCTGCAACTTGCAGACGTCCAGAACGGGGGGGATGGTGAAGATCCAGTGCTAGTCACCACTGGCTCTTAACATGTTCGCACTGGATCTTGACATGACTTGGATGTACGTATGTTGAACTTCTTTCGCACCGTACGTAGGCAACCGTACTGTAATTGTATGTGCGGGGGGGGGGGGGGGACAAGCTAAACACAAAAAGCAGTAAAGAAATTAGTTTTCAACTTAGATGATTTAAAAGTGCATAGCTCCAGTGGCTCGCTAATATTGTAAAGAAGAGTGTTCAAGACGGCCATACGTATGGTGAACTACTTTCGCACCATACATACCCAACCGTGCTAATCGGAGATTTGACCGTACATACGTTAACACGGCTTAACCATACGGATAAGCAGTGCAAGTCGGCACTGGCTCTTATTAACATCAATGACAATTAAATTGGTACCACATTGCTCATGCACAACGTACACAAGCTCCTTGATCGTGCGCCTTCACACGGTTCGACTCGTCGCCACCCTCCGTGGCCGTCGCCCCAAGGGGCAACCGCCAACACCTCCAAACCCTACCGACCCCTCGCCCGCAACTTGAAACCAACACAAATTCAGTACGAGTAGAATCACGGCCCTTTTATAAAATCCACTGCTGGATGAAGGCCTACCCACGCCGAGTCGGTCATGAGTGTTGTTTGACTGTACATCATGTTTAACCTACCCCACAATTCCCACACTTCCGCTCTACATTCCCAACTCCACTGGCTCCCTGTCTGATATCGCCGTCTGTTTAAATGTCTCACTAGCCCCATAAATCCCTCCATGGTCTCGCCCCACCTTATCTTGCTTCTCGCGCATCTCACTACCATGTCCCATCCCCATAGTTGTCAACCCATACGGTATACCCCGTAATCTTCTTGTACAGGGCAATTTAGTTTTCACGTCCGTACGGCGTACAGCCGTTTAAATACGTGTTTCTCCCTTGTGATGGGCCTTTATAGGATGAACGTTGAGATTTATAAGGGGCACAGGGTGACCAATAAGGTCTGAATGTGGTCTGTAGTAAGGTAGCGCACTGATAAAGGGTTGACAGGTATGGCATCCCGTCCTCCACGCTCGCAGTCTCCACTTTCCCTCAGTGTGCCTCCTTCCCCCTGCACCCTGTCATGCTTTCCTTCCTTTTCCCTTCTTGCTCCCCTTCACCGGAACAAACTTCCACTGCGTATGAAACGAGCCTCTTCACTCACCTGCTTCGTCTCCCCCCTTAAAATATCTCTTCTCATGAGCCCATCCAACTCCTGCCACTCCCAGCCCCCCATCCCCCAGCCGACCCTTACCCCCCAACCCCTATCACTACCCCTGTCATTACCCCCATCACTACCCCTATCACTACCCTTATCATTATCCTTACCACCAACCCTATCACTACCCCTGTCACTACCCGTCTCATTACTCCTATCACTACCCCCATCACTACCCCTATCATTACCCCTATCATTACCCCTGTCACTGCCCCTGTCATTACCCCCCCCCCCATCACGACCCCATCACCACGACTGCCCCTATCACTACCACTTTCACTACCACTGTCATTACCCCCATCACTACCCTTATCACTAACCGTATCACTAACCGTATCACTACCCCTGTCACTACCCCTGTCACTACCCCTGTCACTACCCCTGTCACTACCCCTGTCACTAACCCTGTCACTACCCCTGTCACTACCCCTGTCACTACCCCTGTCACTACCCATGTCACTACCCCTGTAACTAACCCCTATCACAACCCCAACCCCTCATTACCCACTCCCACCTGTCCTCCTCTCACCATAACGACACCGCCACACTGAGTAACCCCACTCTTTATTTTAACCACTACCATCCTACGTAAAATTTCATAATTATTGTAAGGTGCCTTAGACGAAGGCGCTCCACAAATCTACACGCGATAAAGACATCGCCGGTAAATGCGGATGGGTGAAAATCTGTGTGGGCAAATGTTGGAAGCAGAGTACAGCGAGATAGTTTTTTTTCCCACGCTGTCTTCTGCTGCCAACAAAAAAGCCCTATCGGGCGTGGTGATGGCCCACCCACGCTGCTCATCTTCCGACATCTGACAATCAGGCAGGCGCATTCTGGGCCACAAGTGTAGCGGGGACGGCGGGGGGGGAGATGTCAGTGCAGTTACAAACAATAAAACCGACGTGCGGTGTCACTGCGGCGCCAAGTAACGTCGCGTGCGGACTTAGCTTTGAAATCGCGCGTAACCTCTCACTAAAGCGCCGTCAGAACTCTCTCTCGTGTGTCGGTGCGACATAGCGTGGCGCATTCGCCGACGAAGAACCTACGGACAGATGCCCGTGCCCGCTATCTCGCGTCCCCCTCGGACGGAGGCGACAGAACCTTCACCCCCTCTCCGTGCTCCGTCTTACTCCTGCGTGGGGTTTTTCACGCTTTGCCACGGTGACCTCTCTCCGTTGCGTTTTTCGTGGCTGCGCCGCGCGCCGTTCGCCACAACGGTCCGACGTTTACCTCGCTTCCCCGGGAGCCACCTTCAGTTATTGCACGGCGACTTGCCCGAAAGTGCCTGGGAGCTTATATCGGGGCAAGCTGGAACTGAAGAGGCGAAACGTCGGACATCGTGCAGGAACAACAAGACGTGGTGCAACCCGAAAAACTGTCGGGCAGCGAAACGTGCGTTGTGTCTTTACTTAATCTGGCCTCAGTGTGCTGTGAAGATGTGCTATTGTCCGACACGTCGCGTGAGACTCAACCGAGATACGTGCAACTCGCGGGAGATGCGTGAGACCTGCGGGAGATGCGTGAGATTCACGGGAGATGCATGAGATTCACGGGAGATGCGTAAGACTCAACGGAGATGCGTGAGATTCACGGGGGATGCGTGAGACTCGTGGGAGATGCGTGAGACTCAACGGAGATGCGTGAGACTCACGGGAGATGCGTGAGATTCACGGGAGATGCGTAAGACTCAACGGAGATGCGTGAGATTCACGGAGATGCGTGAGACTCACGGGAGATGCGTGAGACTCACGGGAGATGCGTGAGACTCACGGGGGATGCGTGAGATTCACGGAGATGCGTGAGACAACGGAGACGCATGAGACTCAACGGAGATGCGTGAGACTCACGGGAGATGCGTGAGATTCACGGAGATGCGTGAGACTCAACGGAGATGCGCGAGACTCACGGGAGATGCGTGAGACTCGTGGGAGATGCGTGAGACTTGCGGGAGATGCGTGAGACTCGTGGGAGATGCGTGAGACTCAACGGAGATGCGTGAGACTCGTGGGAGATGCGTGAGACTCGTGGGAGATGCGTGAGATTCAACGGAGATGCGTGAGACTCACGGGAGATGCGTGAGACTCGTGGGAGATGCGTGAGACTCACGGGAGATGCGTGAGACTCACGGGAGATGCGTGAGACTCAACGGAGATGCGTGAAATTCACGGAGATGCGTGAGATTCACGGAGATGCGTGAGACTCGCGGGAGATGCGTGAGACTTGCGGGAGATGCGTGAGACTCGTGGGGGATGCGTGAGACTCAACGGAGATGCGTGAGACTCGTGGGAGATGCGTGAGACTCAACAGAGATGCGTGAGACTCACGGGAGATGCGTGAGACTCGTGGGAGATGCGTGAGACTCACGGGAGATGCGTGAGACTCACGGGAGATGCGTGAGACTCACGGGAGATGCGTGAGACTCGTGGGAGATGCGTGAGACTCGTGGGAGATGCGTGAGACTCGTGGGAGATGCGTGAGACTCGTGGGAGACGCGTGGGACTCGCACGACACGCGTTTGACACACGAGACACGCGCCGCGGCTACACAAAACTCCCGCGACTCAGACACCGAAGCCTACGCTCTTTCCTAGCGCCCCCCACCGCGGGGCCGCGCGCCGTCTCCGCCAGCCCGCGGCGCCTAGAGGGGGGGGGGGGAGATGGGCCTATGGGAAGAGCGGAGCGCGGGAAGCCGTCAACCGCGGCCGTTCGCCTCCTCCCGCGGCTCGGCTGTCCGCGTCGCCGCTGCTCTCACCTGACAAAAGACGAGGGGAGATTTTTTTATCTGCGGGGTCGAGGCCTCCTCCTCCTCCTCGCGGGGAGGCGCAGGGCGAGGCCGCGCCGCTCAGACCCCCCGCTTCCTCTGGCAGGGCCCCGCGGTGACGTCACCCAGCTAGACTCTCCTTGCATGTGGGATCGCCAGTGTCAGATTTTTGGCAATGACGTCACTGCGTCGACTTAATAGTGATGACGTCATTAAACAGAGTTTTAATTATGATGGCGTCATTACTCCTACTCTATTATTCAGACGTCATCATATCGACTTTTTATTACGATGCCGTCATAAAATCGTCATCGCGTCGGCTGTTTATTGTTATGGCGTCATTTCATCGACGTTTTATTGCGGTGATGACGTAATTACATCGACGTTTATCTAATGATGTCGTCATTACATCGAAACATTTTTATTGTGATGACGTTTTTACAGGGACCCTTCCGACGATGACGTCAGCTTTTCAGTTTATTAGGAACTAGCTGTACTACCCGGCTTCGCCCGGGAGTTGGATTCACCACGCCTGGCCGCCTTTGTCCCCCCAGTGGCGATGTTCACACACCACACCAGTTACTCGTTTGAGGCTGAGTAGACCTAGGGGAGGCCCAGGACCGGTTAAAATAATCGTCACCGGTGGTGGCCGTGAGCGGGAATCAAACTCGGGTCGCGGGGTTCGTAGCGCGGCGCGCTAACCACTACACTACAATGCGTTACGCTTCCACACACACAGATTACACACACACAGATTACGCACACACACACAGATTACACACACACAGATTACACACACACAGATTACACACACACAGATTACACACACAGATTACACACACACAGAGTACACACACACAGGTTACACACACAGACAGATTACACACACACAGCGCGCTAACCACTACACTACACTGCGTTACGCTTCCACACACACAGATTACACACACACAGATTGCACACACACAGATTACACACACAGATTACACACACACACACAGATTACACACACACAGATTACACACACACATATTACACACAGACAGATTACACACACGCACAGATTACACACAGCGCGCTAACCACTACACTACACTGCGTTACGCTTCCACATGCGCGGGTCACGTGACATATGTGACGTCACAGCTCACTTGCTGTGCAAAATATAAATGCATTATTGAGCTCCCCTCCCCCCCCAAAAAAAAATAAAAGTGTATTTTTATACTTTTTGCATGGTGTACAGTCTGGAAAGTACCCACATGGTAAATTTCCAGTTTGTTGCATGTCGGGAAACACGCTAAATATTTCGGCAGATATTCACAACTTCGCCTTGACTCGGGTGCATCCTCAACAAACAAACACATGAACAAAGAACATATCAAAGTGACTACGCGCAACAGAAAAATCCAGGAAAAATCAGCAAAGTCTTCCAGAAAAAACACTGTATATCAACGCTGTGTGCAAAAATCCCAGTGGGATGCAAGTCAAATAATAACAACCATAGACATTGACTTAAAGCTTTCGTCACTGCAGGAATTCATATTTTTGGGTCTTTCAGTAAAGCCACGTAGATAGAAAATTTAATAAAAACTTGTGATATGACTATTTGTCCTGCCTCAGCAGCTCTCCCGCTATATGTTTTCACCTGATGACGATTGCTTGTGTTGCGATCGAAACTTTTTGATATTTTTTTTCTATCTACGTGGCTTTACCGAAAGACTCAAAGAATAACCACAAGACAATTTAGATTCAAGTTATCAGGCTAACTCTGTACTACAACAAACAAACATGGCAAAACCAAAACGTTTTCGAAATCAACAAAATAAAGCTATAAAAACAATGAAATAGTGTTCATAGGAATTGTGATTCAAATTTAACATAACATGTACGACCAAACTTTGCAGCCATAGCTGGCAACATGAGTCACTCCACAACAGCAGGAGTATCAGTAGCAGAATATTTTTTTCAATGCACCTTTAAAGACCAGCACACTATAATCAAAACACAAGATCATACTTTGCAGCGGTCATCCAGAGTGATGCATTTGATTTCGGTCCACTCTGCATAGCAGTGGCAGCTAGGGGTGTACAGCTCCTCAAGAACAGTTTTCAGTGAAGATCTCACAGGTAAATTTTAATTTAAAGCTTTCGTGACTGCAGGGATTCATATTCTTGGTTCTTTCGGTATACTATGTTTTATTTTTATTATTTTATTATTTCCCTTCTACGTGACTTTACCGAAAGAACCAAGAATATATCTCACAGGTAGTGATCCAAGTTGCAGTTTACTGGCGATAGCATTACAGACCCTGGGGGCATCAACGGCAAAGGCCCTTCCTCCAGTATTTTGTGCCATCATAAAGTTGTTGGCTTGTTTTTGTTGGGTTTAGATCGCGTTCAAATAACTGCGTCGTTAAAACCCGCCGCCGCCACCCGACAGGGCCAATACATAAAGGTCGCGTCACGTAAACTAAATTCGTGACTAGCTTAGCACTCGCCGGTTGCGTGTTGCAGAGTAAACCCACGACAACAATTGAACAATTCGAGTAGCCGTGACGTTTCGTCGCCGGTGATTACAACGACGACAACGACGACGAGCAGCATCATCATCATCGTGAGGCGGACAGCCAGAGAACGACGAGCATCATCTTCATCATCATCGTGAGGCGGACAGCCGGAGAACGACAACGAGCATCATCATCGTCACCATCGTGAGGCGGACAGCCAGAGAACGACAACGAGCATCATCATCATCATCATCGTGAGGCGGACAGCCAGAGAGTTGTGGACAAATCCTCTTTGCTGTCTCGGGAATTAAATAGACACGGAAGGGCTGGGATAACTGCGATGTCGCCACTTGCGAGGCGATCGGGTGGCCAGACGGGGGTGGTGTGTGATGGGGTTAATGTATCTACACACAAATAACAATGTTACGTGGATGTCCGGTAAAGGTTGGGTTATAATAATAATACAAATTCGGTCGCGAAAGCCTACGTGTTAAACTGTTGCGTGTGTGTTGGGTTAGATCGCGTAAATGTAAATGCGTCGTTTAAACCCGCCACTAATTGGCCACTCATTTTTGGCTGTGTCGGCTGGTGGAGGGTTTAACGATTAATTTTCTATTTACGCGATCTAACACCAAAACAATTAAACCCTTCATTGGGTTTATGTAATTTGTGTGCGTTGACGTCATTTTACAAATCCTGCTTCGAATATTTATATTTGCGATGGCATGGCCGAGGATGGGAATGTCAATTACATCACTGGTTTAATAATTACAGGGACTCCTCTACTTACGAATATTCGACCTACGAGAGTCGGTGGTGCCATCTACATCTGCAGAACGTGAAGAACCAGTGGCATCTACATCTGCAGAACGTGAAGAACCAGTGGCATCTACATCTGACGAACGTGAAGAACCAGTGGCATCTACATCTGTAGAACGTGAATAACCAGTGGCATCTACATCTGCCGAACGTGAAGAACCAGTGGCATCTACATCTGTAGAACGTGAAGAACCAGTGGCATCTACATCTGCAGAACACGAAGAACCAGTGGCATCTACATCTGCAGAACACGAAGAACCAGTGGCATCTACATCTGCAGAACATTAAGAACCAGTGGCATCTACATCTGCAGAACGTGAAGAACCAGTGGCATCTACATCTGCAGAACGTGAATAACCAGTGGCATCTACATCTGCAGAACACGAAGAACCAGTGGCATCTACATCTGCAGAACATTAAGAACCAGTGGCATCTACATCTGCAGAACGTGAAGAACCAGTGGCATCTCCATCTGCAGATCACGAAGAACCAGTGGCATCTACATCTGCCGAACGTGAAGAACCAGTGGCATCTACATCTGCCGAACGTGAAGAACCAGTGGAATCTATATCTGCAGAACATCAAGAACCGGTGGCATCTACATCTGCAGAACATGAAGAATCAGTGGCATCTACATCTGCCGAACGTGAAGAACCAGTGGCATCTACATCTGCAGAACATTAAGAACCAGTGGCATCTACATCTGCAGAACGTGAAGAACCAGTAGCATCTACATCTGCAGAACGTGAATAACAAGTGGCATCTACATCTGACGAACGTGAAGAATCAGTGGCATCTACATCTGCAGAACACGAAGAACCAGTGACATCTACATCTGCAGAACGTGAAGAATCAGTGGCATCTACATCGACAGAACACTAAGAACCAGTGGCATCTATATCTGCAGAACATTAAGAACCAGTGGCATCTACATCTGCAGAACGTGAAGAATCAGTGGCATCTACATCGACAGAACACGAAGAACCAGTGGCATCTATATCTGCAGAACATTAAGAACCAGTGGCATCTGCAGAAGATTCTAGAACTTGTAAAGTCATGCCCCGTGTTTAGTGTACACGCCGTACAACATGTTTGGAGTCGACAGGAGTAAAGCTGGACTTACGAACAAATTGACTTACAAACAGACCTCTGGAACCTAACTCGTTCGTAAGTAGAGGATTCCCTATATAGCTAGCTATTCAAATAAAAAAAACACGTGTTTTTTATTGTTACCAGGAGCCATGGTGTAAACAAGTGCACTCTCCAACTCTTATCGTCCATTCTTGTCTCTACCGGGCGTCTCTCCCTATGCATGTACCACGAAGAAGGGCCATTGCCTGAAACGTCACTTGTTTTACAGGGTGGCCCAAAAGTCTGGACGCATAAGATTATTATATCAATTTCAACAAATCCACTCGGGCTCTTTAATCTTCCATAATACAGGGGGGGTTTTTGGTGGGTTAGATCGCGTAAATATATAAATGTGTTGTTAAAACCCACCACCACCCGACACAGCCAATTAGTAAGGTTTGTCACGTAAACAGAACGTGCCAATTCGTCACTAGTACAGCACTAACCGGTTGTGTGTTGAAGAGTGAACCCACAACGTTTACAATCTGAGTACGACGTTTCTTCAGTAATTACAACTAGCTTCATCAGGCGACAGCCAGATTTGTGAAGTCAACGTGTTTCGTTCCTTAAATAGAGGGGCAGATGTGTTGACGTCACTTCCGTGCTATTCTTGCGCGAAGTGGGGAGGGGTTTAATGAATGTATATTTATATGGTAAGCAACACACATTATGCATGTGCATTGTGGGAGCCCTTTGTTCTTGTACTGCCTGTCGATTGTGTGAACTCAAATAGCCGTAGCAACGGTAATCCCTATTAAGTATGGTGACCTGTATAGGCATGCATTTAAACAATGTATTGTTTGATGATTCGCTTCCAAGCAGCACTAAGTCTGTAGCTTTTTAGTCTATTTTAATAAATGTTAAAACTGACTTCTCACTGACGTTAACGTATGATGCATAAATTGTCTTTTTTTTCTCTTTCAGAAAGTATTTTGTTAACAAGGCGATTCAGGTACACAACACAGAGGATGTGAAGGGGCGTTGACACCAGCATATGCACACTTTACAGATTACAGTGCAGCATGAATGATCGATTTAAAAGAATTAAAATTACAGCTGTGTAATCTGTGAACATTCATCAATTGTGGTTTGTATCAATTCATTGGGTGTTCTTGGTCGAATTTTGTAAACGATTGATATGAGGTGACCCCACAGGAAGAAGAAAATTTGATGTTATTAATGAATAAAGAATAAACTATTGTTTCAATGCTAGTGTTAAAATAAATAATGTAAAATTCGATTTAAAGCTTTCGTGACTGCAAGGATTCATCTTCTTTGGTTCTTTCGGTAAAGTCTACGTGACTTTACCGAAAGAACCAAAGAAGATAAATAATATATCCATGTGTATCCTGACTTTTGGACCACCCTGTATAATAACCCTATGTATCCTGACTTTTGGGCCACCCTGTATAATAACCCTATGCATCCTGACTTTTGGACCACCCTGTATAATAACCCTCTGTATTCTGACTTTCGGGCCACCCTGTATAATAACCCGATGTGTCCTGGCCAGCCACGCAGTGTTGGTGATGACGCACGTGTTACCGGCAAAACGTCTTGCCAACTCGAATTGTAAATGTTGTCGTGGGTTTACTCTCCAACACACACCCGATTAGTGCTGAACTTGTAACGAATTGGCACGTGCTCTGTTTACGTGACACAACCTTTACTAATTGTGTGCGTCGGTTGGTGGTGGGTTTAACGACATTATTATATATTTACGCGATCTCAACAAAAAAACATTTATTATGGAGCTGTAATTCCGTTTTCTGTTAGTTGAGTGTTGACCCTGGAACAATTAACAGCACCGAGCCCCCGTATATATGAATTTTATTTGTAATGGGTTCAACTGAGTCGCAGACGTAGACTTTGGAGGCAACACATTTATTCAGTTCCAACACACGGGGAAACTTCCCCTTAACAGAATAACAACCTAAGGTGGTGACCACCCGGCTAACTACACTAGTTACTACACTAGTTACTACACCAGTTACTACACTAGTTACCAAGTAACTGTTACTACGGACCCGGGACCAACAGCATCTGCCCGGGTCCACGTGCTGGAAGACTCGTTGAACGGAGATCGTAGACGAAGGGGTTCTTTCCCGGGATGAACAACCCTGGTCCCTCTTGGGACCCGCCTTCTATTCTCTGTGGCTCCGCCCTTGGCCACGCCCACCTTCAGAATCCTTAGCAAGGATCTGGGTCCCAATCACGTGACCACCCCTAGCCCCCTCTTGGGGCCCCTCTGTCAACTTAGCCGGTCACGTGTCCTCCCTGGTCAACTAGAGTGCCATGGCCTCACACAAACTTACCCTTTGGTCGGCACCCACACGCCCTGTCCTGTAGGGCCGGCACTGCACTTGTAGCCTGGTGCCACCCAGCGCTATTATCCAGCGCACACCGTGCCCCTCTCGGGCCGGAACTACACCCACAGCATGGTGACATCCAGCGATGTCGCCACATCATTCACTACTCAACTTGTTTACTCTATTCGTTGTTGCACGGCTACAATTTACTTTGCTCGGTCGGTGTTAGCCGCCGAGCTCGTTACGGGGTTCTGTTTTCATTCCTGTTGCTTCGTGCTCCCCCGGTACCGTTCCCGTTCCGTCGTAATGTGCACCGCTGCACGACGTTACCGAGGGCGATATTAGAACGTAAAATTAAGATTGATTGATTTGTATAACGTTTTCAATGGAACCACCATGAACAAATCATTATTCCGCATCCCATGATGTTCCTGGCCAACTAGCTAAACTCGATCTATACCCTTGTAAAGTTCACATTTTCATATTCATTAGCATTCGTAGATGCTTTTTATTGACCATACTTCACGTATTCTGCTGTACTGTAAAGATTACCGTACTCGTGAATGAAACACAAATATATCCAGTTCATGAATCCATTGGTGATGATGTTACATCCATTCGTGATGATGTTACATCCATTGGTGACGATGTTACATCCATTCGTGACGATGTTATATCCAATCATGTAACACAATGCTCAAACATCGAAAGTATGCCGTAATCTGGAAGACATGCCAAATAACTGACTTTCAGAAAAAAATCACACTTCACGAAGACACGTCATCTTGCGTGGAGGAGAAACAATAACAGTATTACAATAATGCAAACTGTTTGCCAGGACAGTCGAAGTCCACATTTCTCAGAAGGGTTCCCGGTCTCCTCCTCTTCATGGCATCTCCACCTCCTCCTCGAGGCACCTCCTTCCCCTCCTCCTTCCTCTCTCCTCCTGCTCCTCCCTCTCCTCCTTCTCCACCTCCTGTCGCCCGCTCCTCCTCACGGCAGCTGCTCCTCAAACAGCACGGAGCACAACGTGGCGAGCACCGCCGGGGCCCCGTTTCCCTCCTCACGCGGGCCTTCGCCCCTCTCCTCCTCTCCCTCCTCCGTCCTCCGCTCCATCTCGTCGGCCGTCCTCGGTGGCACGGCCATCGCCGTGGGCCCCGTGGGTCCCGCGAGGAACGGTGCCGCCGTGGCGCCGACTCTTCCCGGCGCGGCCGCCACGGTCGGGCCCACGCGTCCGCCTGCACGGCCTCCCGCCTCCTCCTGATACGCCCCTCGGCGACGGTCGCTCGTCCCGCTAACGTGGAGCTGCGATGCGGGGACGCACGCGGGCCCCAGGAAGGGGCCCGGGTTCGAGACCAGGGGAACGGCACGGCCGGGAGAGAGGCCCAGCAGAGGGGGCGGGAGGACGGCGATGGAGGCCGTGGGCGAGAGCGTGGGCCCAGGACCATGCATTGCGGTTGCGAAGGCAGCGTCGCCTAAACACACGCAGACGGAACATGCACGGAGACACGGAGACTTTTGCATTTAAAATTAAACCACAATTTTGCGTCGTGTTGTCACTGCGCTCAATGGCACGTTTCCTGTAGGCAGTGTTTGTTGTGCGCGCTGGACCGTCGACTGTGCAGTTTGTTTCGTGTTGTCTCTCGCCACTTTGTGGCCCTGCGAGAAGAACGTGGAGTTTCCATCAACGGCTCAGATCCACCACAGAGACGAACACTGGCCAATATGTTTGGCTTGAGCACGAAGGACACGATCCACTTTCAGCCGAGTTTGCGTGTGTCGAGATCTGGCCAAGAGAGAGCCGTCTCAGTCTCAGGCAAGAGAAAAGAGAGATGAAGGGAGACGGGACTAGAGAGAGAGAGATAGATGGAGAGACGCGGAGAGACGCGGAGGCTGGGAGCGACGTGGAGAGTGAGGCGTGGAAAAAAACGAGCCATCCATGATCAAGGTTTTTTGGGTTAGATCGCGTTAATATAGATACATCACTAACCCACCACCACTACCACCCGACACAGCCAATTAGTAAGCCTTGTCACTTGAACAAAAGGTGCCAATTAGCTTTTACTTCAGCACGTCGGTGTGATGGCGAGTAAACCCACAACAATTACAATTGAGTACGACGTTACGCTGGTGATTTACAATTAGCTTCATCAGGCGATTTGCCACACTTTATCATGGTTGGCTACGTAGGGTCCGAAAGAAGTTCAATATGCATAGATTAGCACGGTTTGCTACGTAGGGTGCGAAAGAAGTTCAACACACACACAAGGAGAAGGAGAGGCATGGGAAGAGGCACGGGGAGCAGCGACGTACCGGCGGCGACTCCGGCGCTCCCACGAGCGAGCGGCCAGCCGCCTTCGCCGCCGTCCTTCGCGGGACCCGGGGAGGGGGCCGCACGGGGGTCCCACGGGGGCGGCCGGGGGCCCGCGCCGCTCCACGACCACGACGCGGAGGGCGGCCGCGGGGAACCTTCCGGGGCGAGGGCTCCCGCGTGGCCGTGCCGCGGCCCGACGCGGCGGCGGCGGCCAGCTCCATCGCCGTCATCCTCGTGTCCGTCCTCTCCTTCTTCATCGTCGCCGTCATCGTCCCCGGCACTGCTGCCCCCAGTCGGCTCGCTGCAGAAGAGCGCCCATGGAGCGTGGCATTAATTGGCCGCTGAGTCTAAACTAAACATTTTTAAATTTATTTTACCAATGTTAAGGCCCCACTTAGCTACGTGGCTCTTGTTCAGGCGCGACCTGCCCGTCACGAGCGACAGCTCGACCAAGTGGCTTGTCACGTGCAAATCTGTAGCAGCCAAATACTCTAAACCAGTGGTTCTGAACCTTGACTGCAGCCCGATTCTCAGAAAGGGCATTTCGCGCCGCCAGGTGTTGCATGCACCCCAGGTTAAGAAGCACTGATCTAAGCGCATGCTTTGAAATGTGGAGGGAAAAACCGGGGGACCCGGAGAAAAATCCACACGACCATGGAGAGAGACACGCAAACTCCAAATCTACAGCAGCAGGCATCAGGGTCGGGATTGAACCCGCGACCTCCTGCATACCAGGCGAGGTAGTTAACATCTCGCAGCTGTAGCACCCCACGATGGTGAAGTCCACCCACGCATCATCAGCCTGATGTGATGGCCTCCTTCAATATCAACATTGCCAATAACATGACGATCATCATCTCCATTGTCACGTTCGTCGGTTCAATTTAACTCCACAACAACAGTCGAGAGTTAAACTCAGTCCACTTCCCCTGCACGCCCCCACCACGGCCAGCGCCCATCATCTTCCCTCTAAGAGAGCGATAAAATGATGACCACTTTGTGAGAAATTAACAGATGTTCTACGGGGTTTCTATGCGAGTCTATGGGGTCTCTGTGCGAGTTTATGGGGTCTCTACACCACTAGGGGTCTCTATGCGAGTCTATGGGGTGTCTATGGGAGTCTATGGGGTCTCTATGCGAGTCTATGGGATCTCTATGCGAGTCTATGGGGTGTCTATGCGAGTCTATGGGGTGTCTATGCGAGTCTATGGGGTGTCTATGCGAGTCTATGGGGTGTCTATGCGAGTCTATGGGGTGTCTATGCGAGTCTATGGGGTGTCTATGCAAGTCTATGGGGTCTCTATGCGAGTCTATAGGGTCTCTACACCACTAGAGGTCTCTATGCGAGTCTATGGGGTGTCTATGCGAGTCTATGGGGTCTCTATGCGAGTCTATGGGGTGTCTATGCGAGTCTATGGGGTGTCTATGCGAGTCTATGGGGTCTCTACACCACTGGCGATCTCCTCCTCTGCCTGCCCGTGCCTCTCGGCGCGTGCACCTGGCGAGCGAGGAATCTGGGCGGTGCCTCCCTCGGGGCGTGAAGCTGCCAGGTGTCGGCTCTCGAGACCACGGTCCACGTGGGATGGGGGGCAGCGGGGGGGGGGGGTCTGGGGGGGAGGGGCGGGGCAGGGGGGGATGAGGAGGCTTGTCCATGCACTGGCGAGCAGGAGAGCTCAGTTCAGCACGGAGCCTTTCCTGACCACAGTTAGGAGAGCTCAGGTCTATGGGGTCTCTATGGGGGTCTCTATGGGGGTCTCTATGGGGGTCTCTATGGGGGTCTCTCTGGGGGTCTCTCTGGGGGTCTCTATGGGGGTCTCTATGGGGGTCTCTCTGGGGGTCTCTATGGGGGTCTCTATGGGGGTCTCTATGGAGGTCTCTATGGGGGTCTCTATGGGGGTCTCTATGAGAGTCTATGGGGTGTGTATGTCCATGGTGTGTGTATGTCTATGGTGTGTGTATGTCCATGGTGTGTGTATGTCTATGGTGTGTGTATGTCTACGGTGTGTGTATGTCTACGGTGTGTGTATGTCTATGGTGTGTGTATGTCTATGGTGTGTGTATGTCTATGGTGTGTGTATCTCTATGGTGTGTGTATGTCTATGGTGTGTGTATGTCTATGGTGTGTGTATGTCTATGGTGTGTGTATGTCAGTATTCTTCATTTACGGTAGTGTAGCGGTTAGCGCGCTGTGCTACAACCTGGTCGACCCGGTTCGATTCCCGCTCAAGGCCAACACCGGTGACGATTATTTGAACCGGTCCTGGGCCTCTCCTAGGTCGACTCAGCCTCAAATGAGTATCTGGTGCGGTGTGTAGACATAGCCACTCGGGAGACAAAGGCGGCCGGGCGCGGTGCTGGCCACCCACCCCCTCTTATACTGTGTCGGCCTTTATAGGTGCTCGCTAACAGAACTTGCCCCTACAGTCTGGTCAGGCTATACGGGGATCTTTGTCTTTTGCGTTCTTCACTCATTTTCAGGCGGGGGGGCCCAATTTTTAAGAGTTATGCCCCCTTAAATCGTCTCGCTGGAAAACTAATTTCTTTAGGACCGCTTTTCGTGTTTATTTTTCTGTCCTTCCCCCGCGCCTCCGATTCGCCGCGGCCGGCTACGTATGGCGCCAAAGAAGTTCAGCGAGCACCGCCGTCCTTTACCGCAAGGCCCCCCCCCCCCCCCCCCCGGTTTCAAACGCGCGGGCGGCGCACGCTCGCGCCGGCGAAAGTGCCCCCCACCTTCCGTGAATGAGCGACGAGCGGCGGGCTCTGTGCGAGTCCGGGGGTGGCCGCGGGAGGAGGCCACAGAGGGCCGCGCTACTCGCCTGCGCCGAGGCTGCCGCCGGTCCCCCGCTGGGCCTGGCGCTCGGTCGCGCTGCCGCCGGTTCTTGAACCAGTTGGCGACCTGCGTGGCGGTGAGGCCCGTGGCCAGCGCCAGCTGCAGCTTCTGCTCGGGGCTGGGGTAGCGCGCGCCGCCGTAGCTCTCCATCAGCGCCCTGCGCCGGCAAATGCAACGCCAAGAGAAGCGGTCCACGACAGACCCCGGCAGGGGCAGGCGCCCGCGTCGCTGTGTAAGGCGAGTGGCGCGAGCGGCGAGCACCGACGAGGGGCTGGGGGTGGCCAACATCGCGAGGCTTCACCGCGTTGTGGAGGCTTCGCCAAGCGGTGAAGCCTCGTGGTGTCGTGGTGATGCCTCGAGGTTCCACTGCGTTGTGGCTTGTATGTATGTTTCACTACTTTTCGCTAATCGGAGGTGCGGGGGGTGAAGGACAACAAACTCGACGCAAAAAGCAGTTCTAAAGAAAAGAGTTTGTTAATCTAGATGATGATGATTTAAAAGTGCATAGCACCCAGTGGCTTCCTGATATTGGAAGGAGGAGCGTTCCAGACGGCCGCGGGAGCAGGCGCATCTGAAAGCGCCGCGCGGCGATGCGGTGACGACCGGAGGAGTTGGCGTGATGACGGGCTCAGCAGCGAGGTGCTGTCATTTCATTTCGTGGCGAGCGCTCTGCGTGCTACGAGCGGTGGCGCCGCCGCCGCTTCAGAAGCTCCCGGCGCGTGGAGCCAAAACGTCGGACACCGTGCCGGTCAACGCGCGGTTCAAGTTTTTTTTTTTACTTTTTTTTTTACTTTGTAACTGGACCAGGCGACAAACCCTCGCGACCGCCCTTCCCGATTGCGAGCACGTCACCCGCGTGCGCGCTCCTTGAAGCAGTAGCTCGTGCGCTCGCCGTCCCAGATGGTGCGGGGCGGCGGGTGCCTCTTGCGCACGCGGTACTTGTCCACGGCGCCCAGCGCGCGGCCCCTCGCCCGCTCCGCCTCGAGGTAGCGCGCCCGGAACCACAGCGCCTGGCGGCGGCGGTGGCGGCGGCAGCAGCAGGGCACACGGAGCCGGGCGGTGGGCAGTGGGCGCGGGAGGGGTAGCGGGTAGGGGAGGAGAGCACACAAGGGGCGCCACGGTGGTGAGATGTTAACTACCTCGCCTGGTTTACAGGAGGTCGTGGGTTCCATCCCTGGACCCTGACGATGCCTGCTTGCTGCTGTATATTTGGAGTTTCCGTCTCTCTCTCTCTCTCTCCCCGTGGTCGCGTGGATTTTTCTCCGGGTCCTCCGGTTTCTCCCTCCACGTTTAGAATCGACATCATCACGCGTTCAGAGTGTGTGGCTGCTGCTATAAATTTCCACGTGATGATGCTAAGCCACTTCGTTGAGCTATCATTTGTGATAGCCAGGTCGCTTATGAAAAAGATCCACGTAGTACCTCAATGGGAACTTACCTGGTAAAATAAAGAGTTGTGGTAGTTCAACTTATTTCGCACCATATGTAGTCAACTGTGCTAATGGGAGGGACGCAAGCGACAAAGATTGCCCGTCGAGGGTGCAGGCGGTGCAATTGCACCGGGAGTGGTAGCCACGCCGAGATTCTCTCCGCTGCGACTCCGCATCGAGCTGTCGTTTTTTTTATGGAATCCGGAACAAACAAATTGTTGTTATTTTGGTTGCCAAGCCCCCGGGTCTAACGATACAAACTCACACGCGATGGGAAGTGCAAAGTCTAGGGAAGAGGTGACAGCGTGCACGAGTGAGTGACCTGCAGGTGAGAGGGCGAGCGAGTCACCCGCAGGTGAGAGAGAGCGAGTCACCTGGAGGTGAGCGATTGAGTCACCTGTAGGTGAGAGAGAGCGAGTCACCTGGAGGTGAGCGAGCGAGCGAGTCACCTGCAGGTGAGAGGGCGAGCGAGTCACCTGCAGGTGAGAGGGCGAGCGAGTCACCTGCAGGTGAGAGGGCGAGCGAGTCACCTGCAGGTGAGAGAGCGAGCGAGTCACCTGGAGGTGAGCGAGCGAGCGAGTCACCTGGAGGTGAGAGAGTGAGTCACCTGCAGGTGAGCGAGCGAGCAAGTCACCTGCAGGTGAGAGGGCGAGCGAGTCACCTGCAGGTGAGAGGGCGAGCGAGTGACCTGCAGGTGAGAGGGCCAGCGAGTCACCTGTAGGTGAGAGAGAGCGAGTCACCTACAGGTGAGAGGGCGAGCGAGTCACCTGCAGGTGAGAGGGCGAGTGACCTGCAGGTGAGCGAGCGAGGGAGTCACCTGCAGGTGAGAGGGCGAGCGAGTCACCTGCAGATGAGAGAGAGCGAGTGACCTGCAGGTGAGGGGGCGAGCGAGTCACCTGCAGGTGAGAGAGAGCGAGTCACCTGCAGGTGAGCGAGCGAGCGAGTCACCTGCAGGTGAGAGGGCGAGCGAGTCACCTGCAGGTGAGAGAGAGCGAGTCACCTGCAGGTGAGCGAGCGAGCGAGTGACCTGCAGGTGAGGGGGCGAGCGAGTCACCTGCAGGTGAGAGAGAGAGCGAGTCACCTGCAGGTGAGCGAGCGAGCGAGTCACCTGCAGCGCCGCGTGGTGGCGCGCCTCGAAGGCGTGGCCCTCCAAGACGTCGTACAGCTCCCGGTAGCTGCCCGAGTGGAAGGCGACGTGGGCGCGGGCCCTCAGCACGGCCTCGTCGCGGGACGCGGCCGCAGGCCCCGGCAGGGCCCAGAGGAAGCGGGCGAGGCGCGCCACGTCGCCTCCCTGCTGCAGCGCCTCGCACACACACGCCACCTGGCCCAGGGAGGACGCCCCACGGGCCAACGCGTTCCTCTGCACCTACGAGGCTGATGGCTCTTTGCTGTTGTTGTTGTGCTGTTGTTGTGCTGTTGTTGTGCTGTTGTTGTTGTTGTGTATTGATGGATGTATCGTCGTGCCGTGCTGTGGGACCCCACGTCTAAACATCATGGGCTCTCTTGTAAATATCTGGTAGTTCATGAGTAATTAACTACCGGTAGTACATCAGTAATTAATTACTGGTAGTTCATCAGTAATTAATGACTGGTAGTTCATGAGTAATTAACTACCGGTCATACACCAGTAATTAATTACTGGTAGTTCACCAGTAATTAACTACCGGTAGTTCATCAGTAATTAATTATTGGTAGTTCAGTAATTAATGAAGTAATTTCTGCTAAACTCCCACCCGCTCCCTCGTGATGTTTTGCGTCAGGGCCACGTGGACCGTGGCTCTGGGGCGACTACCGGGACACTCGCTCCACATCCACGCCAGCGAACCCCCCACCAGCAGCCCCCCACCAACCCCCCACCGCCACCGCCCCCTCACCTGCTCATCAGAGAAGCCGGTCATGAGGCCTCCTTCCGGGACGCCAGCCGCTCCGCTCCCCGCTGCCCCTTGGGGTCCTGGGACAGAGGCCATGGCCCCAGTGTCCTCCTCCTCCTCTCCCCCACCTCGTTGTGCCCCTGCCGAGCGTGACGACCCCTGGGTCTCACGGTGACTCGCGCGTACGAGAGACGTGGGAGCGCTGGACAAGACACAGACAAAGGTCCCCCGGATAGTCTTAACGGACTTTTTGGGGCAAGTGCTGTTCGCGAGCAGCACCTGCCCGATGAAGGCCGGCACGCCACACGAGCGGGGTGGGTGGCCAGCGCCACGCCTAGTGGCGATGTTTGCTACGCACCGCACCAGGTATTCATTTGAGGCTGAGTCGACCTAGGGGGGTTCAGATAATCGCCGCTTGTGTTTGCCGTCGAACCTGGGTCGCTGTGTTCGTAGCGCAGTGCGCTGACCACTGCGCCACCGCTCCCCACTCACGTGCACACCTACACACGTGGGCACCCATAGGTATACTGTGCACGTGCGACACACACACGCGTGTGTGTGTCACACACACACGTGATGCACACATGCGTCACTCGGACGCGTGCACGTTACGCCCTAAATACACGCGTGCTAACACATGTTAACGCACAGACAAAGTTGCCCCGTAAAGCCTGTGCCAGACTGTTGGGGCAAGTGCCGTTCGTGCACACAGATGAAGGCCGGCGAGGCACCACGTGTGGCTAGCACCACGCCCGGCCGCCTTTGTCTCCCCGGTGTTGATGTTTTGGACGCACCGCATCAGACACCCATTTAAGGCTGAGTCGAGCTAGGGGAGGCCCAGGACTGGGACCGGTTCAGATATTCACCACTGATGTTGGCCGTGATCGAACTCGGGTCGCCGGGTGTTGAGCGCAGTGCGCTAACCACTGCACCACCGCTCGACACACACACACGTGCAAGTTCACAAGTACAGCAACAATGGGAACTCACGAGTAGCAGCCATAGCCCAAACAACAGCAGTAACAACAGCAGTAGCAGTAACATCAGTAGTAGCAGTAACAACAGCAGTAGCAGTAACATCAGTAGTAGCAGTAACAACAGCAGTTACAACAGCAGTAGCAGTAACATCAGCAGTAACAACAGCAGTAGGAGTAACAGCAGTAGCAGCAGTAACAACAGCAGTAATAGCAGCAGTAACAACAGCAGTAGCAGTAACATCAGTAGTAGCAGTAACAACAGCAGTTACAACAGCAGTACCAGTAACATCAGCAGTAACAACAGCAGTAGCAGTAACAGCAGTAGCAGCAGTAACAACAGCAGTTACAACAGTAGTAGCAGTAACATCAGCAGTAACAGCAGTAGCAGTAACAGCAGTAATAGCATCAGTAACAACAGCAGTTACAACAGTAGTAGCAGTAACATCAGCAGTAACAACAGCAGTAGCAGTAACAGCAGTAATAGCATCAGTAACAACAGCAGTAGCAGCCATCGCCCAAACAACAGCAGTAGCAGCAGTAACAACAGCAGTTACAACAGCAGTTACAGCAGTAACAACAGCAGTAGCAGTAACATCAGTAGTAGCAGTTACAACAGCAGTAGTGGCAGTAATAGCATCAGTAACAACAGCAGTAGCAGTAACATCAGTAGTAGCAGTAACAGCAGTAGTAGCAGTAATAGCATCAGTAACAACAGCAGTAGCAATTACAACAGCAGTAGAGGCAGTAATAGCATCAGAAACAACAGCAATACCAGTAATATCAGTAGTAGCAATAATAGCATCAGTAAAAACAGCAGTAGCAGTAACATCCGTAGCTGCAGGAACAGCATCAGTTACAACATCAGTACCTGCAGCAGCAGTACCTGCAGCAGCAGTACTGTCGTCACTATCTGTGTGTGTGTACCGGAGTGAGTGTGTGGGTCTGTGTGTGTGTGCTGAGTGAGTCTGTGTGTGTGCTGAGTGAGTCTGTGTGTGTGTGCTGAGTGAGTCTGTGTGTGTGTGTGCTGGAGTGAGTCTCTGTGTGTGTGTGTTGGGTGAGTCTGCCTGTGTGTGTTTGCTGGAGTGAGTCTGTGTGTGTGTGTGCTGAGTGAGTCTGTGTGTGTGTGTGTGCTGAGTGAGTCTGTGTGTGCTGGAGTGAGTCTGTGTGTGTGTGTGTGCTGGAGTGAGTCTGTGTGTGTGTGTGCTGGATGAGTCTGTGTGTGTGTGTTAGGTGAGTCTGTGTGTGTGTGTGTGCTGAGTGAGTCTGTGTGTGTGTGTGCTGAGTGAGTCTGTGTGTGTGTGCTGGAGTGAGTCTGTGTGTGTGTGTTGGGTGAGTCTGTCTGTGTGTGTGTGCTGGAGTGAGTCTGTGTGTGTGTGTGTGTTGGGTGAGTCTGTGTGTGTGTGTGCTGAGTGAGTCTGTGTGTGTGTGCTGGAGTGAGTCTGTGTGTGTGTGTGTGCTGGAGTGAGTCTGTGTGTGTGTGTGCTGAGTGAGTCTGTGTGTGTGTGTGCTAGGTGAGTCTGTGTGTGTGCTGAGTGAGTCTGTGTGTGTGTGCTGAGTGAGTCTGTGTGTGTGTGTGCTGGAGTGAGTCTGTGTGTGTGTGTGTGCTGGAGTGAGTCTGTGTGTGTGTGTGCTGGATGAGTCTGTGTGTGTGTGCTGAGTGAGTCTGTGTGTGTGTGTGCTGAGTGAGTCTGTGTGTGCTGAGTGAGTCTGTGTGTGTGTGCTGAGTGAGTCTGTGTGTGTGTGTGCTGAGTGAGTCTGTCTGTGTGTGTGTGCTGAGTGAGTCTGTGTGTGTGTGTGTGTGCTGAGTGAGTCTGTGTGTGTGCTGAGTGAGTGTGTGTGCTGAGTGAGTGTGTGTGCTGAGTGAGTCTGTGTGTGTGTGTGCTGAGTGAGTCTGTGTGTGTGTGTGTGCCGAGTGAGTCTGTATGTGTGTGTGCTGAGTGAGTCTGTCTGTGTGTGTGTGTGCTAGGTGAGTCTGTGTGTGTGTGCTAGGTGAGTCTGTCTGTGTGTGTGTGTGCTAGGTGAGTCTGTGTGTGTGCTAGGTGAGTCTGTGTGCTGTGTGTGTGTGCTGAGTGAGTCTGTGTGTGTGATAGGTGAGTCTGTGGGTCTGCGTGTGTTCTCCGCACTGAACGCTGTGGGTGAAGGGGCGGTGGAGACACGAGTGGCTGGGAGCGTGTCGAGAGGGGATTGTTTGTATGTGGGCGTGAGTCATGGGGGGTGTGAGTGACACTTGAACCGGTCCAGGGGGCCTCCCCTAGGTCGACTCAGAGGGGGTGGATGGCCAGCACCACGCCCGAACGCCTTTGTCTCCCCAGTGGCGATGTTTACTACACACCGCTACGCCAGGTACTCATTTGAGGCTGAGTCGACCTAGGGGAGGTCCAGGACCGGTTCAGATAATCGCCACCGGTGTTGGCCATGAGCGGGAATCGACCTCGGGTCACCGGGTTCATAGCGCAGCGTAGCGCTAACCACGACACTACCGCACACACACACGCACACGTGTACATACACACATACACGTGTACACACACACATACACGTGTACACACACACAAACACGTGTACACACACATACACGTGTACACACACACATACACGTGTACACACACACATACACGTGTCAGGTCGAGATTCGAGCGGAGCTGCAATAATTATAATTAGTGATAGTTATAATTAGTGATAATTATAATTAGTGATAAATAGCATAATTAGTGATAGTTATAATTAGTTATCATTATAATTAGTGATAATTATAAATAGTGATAGTTATAATTAGTGAAATTATAATTAGTGATAATCATGAGTGATCATTATCATAATGAGTGATCATTATCATAATGAGTGATACTCATAATTAGTGAAATTATAATTAGTTATAATCATAATGAGTGATCATTATCATAATGAGTATAATCATAATTAGTTATAATTATCATAATGAGTGATCATTATCATAATTAGTGATAATTATAATTGGTGATAATCATAATGAGTGATAATTATAATTAGTGATAATCATAATTAGTGATAATAATCACCGATTCACTGCTCGCTCACCGGCCATCAGTCCGCCAGCTTGTCACTCTACTATCGCTACGACTACTGCCCTCATTACTGTTCCTAAGAACTTGCTGACCTATTCACGCCAGCTATGTATATATAGGTGTGTGTATATATATGTGTGTGTGTATATATAGGTGTGTCCGGCAAAACAACCCCCTACCTCCTCGCGGTGCCGGACGGGCAACTCTGTCGTGGACAGTGCTGTGGGGGGAGGTCCAATTGTGATTGGCTTCTCCCCTCACGGCATCTGTGTCCACCACAGGGGCTAAACGGGGGCTCTGGACGGGTGCGAGGGGCTGGTAACTCCTCTACCTTCAATTAATTACCACTAAACCGCGAATTAAGTATATAACTAATAAGCTTGTGCCGGAGGCCCCGGGGGGCCAGGCGTCTATGACGTCTCCTGGTCAAACCCCAATTGGCGGAGCCAGGAGATTGAATATCTACCCTCGGGGCTCCTCCAGAAACAACGAAAAACCACTACGGGTGGCCACGTGGAATGTTCGAACGCTCACTGCGGAGGAGAGGCTGCCACTCCTCTGTCGGGAGCTGGACCGGTACCGCCTGGATCTATGTGGCATTCAGGAGGTCCGGTGGACCGGCTCTGGCTCCTGCCACCATGAGGGGTGAACAGTCCTCTACTCGGGGCAGCAGACTGCCAAACAACAGGGTGTGGCTCTTCTTTTGAACAAAAGAATGAAGGGGGCGTGGGAGCGTGGCGGTGAGGTGTGGGAAGCTGTAAGCCCCAGGCTACTTTGGGCTCGCCTTCCCATCAACCAGAGGCGAGGAATGGTGGTCGTGGTTACTTATGCCCCACCGAAGATGAACATCCGTGAAGGGATGCAGGCAAAGCCGATAAGTCAGATGCCTTCTATGACCTCCTGTCACAGGTGCTGGCTAAAGTGGCCCCTCGGGATAGAGTCATTATGTTGGGTGACTTCAATGCCTGAGTTGGTCATGATACTGGCACCTGGTCTGGAGTGATTGGAGGGCATGGGCCAGATCAGCTCAATAACAACAGTAGGAGGCTGCTAGATTTTTGTGCAGCCCATGGGTTTGTAATTACCAACACGCTGTTCCGGCATCAGAGCATCCACACAACATCATGGATGCATGCCGGGTCCAAGCAAGAACATCTGCTGGACTACATAGTGACGGACCA